TGTGTGCAATTCATGTTTGAAAGGTAGAAGGAGGAGGGCTTTCAGTCTAAAATGGAAATTAATTGGGTATCCGCTTCCCTTCATCAGGTCATCAGAAGTCTTTATTGTGTGTATCTGGGGGTGGGGGTCGGGGAGGTCGAGGAGAGGAGAAAAGCTTTGTGACCTCTGGGTGGCCTTAAGGTTACTGGCTCTCCAGGCCTGGGCAGAGCCTCTTTTTTTCTTTTCTTTTTTTTTTTGCTTATGTGGTGCTGAGGAATTGAACCCAGGGCCTCAGGCATACAAGGCAAGGGCTCTACCACTGAATCACCTTCCCAGCCCCTGGGCAGAGCCTCACTCCAGCATCTGGTCTCCATCTTTGTGTGTGTGTGTGTGTGTGTGTGTGTGTGTGTGTGTGCCAGTCCTGGGGCTTGAACTCAGGGCATGAACTCTCCCTGTGCTGCTTTTACTCAAGGTTAAGGCTCTACTACTTGAACCACAGCTCCACTGATAGCTTTTTGGAGTAGCTTATTAGAGATAAGAGTCTCACAGACTTTCCTGACCCTGAACCACAGTCCTCAGATCTCAGCTTTCTGAATAGATGGGATTACAGGTCTGAGCCACTGGTGCCCAGCTGAGCTCCATCTCTTTATGGCATTATCACACAAATCTGGACTATATCCTCCACCTCCTCTTGGTTCTGGGGCTGGAATCCGGGGCCTCCGGTATGCTAGGCAAATGCTCTGCCACTGAGCTCTATCCCCAACTATCTGGACCTATTCATTAATTAAGTTTTTAATTGTTATTTTTGCCAGTCATGGGACCTGGATGCTGTCCCTCAGCTCCACTTCCAGCTTTTTCTGTGATTAGAGATAAGAGTTTCACTGATTAGTCGAGTGCTGGTGGCTCAGGCCTGTAATCCTAGCTACTCAGGAGGCTGAGATCTGAGGATCACTGTTCAAAGTCAGCCTGGGCGGGAAAGTCTGTGAGACTCTTATCTACAATAAACCACTAGAAAACTGGAAGTGGCACTGTGGCTCAAGTGGTAGAGCACTCACCTTGAGCTGAAGAGCGCAGGGACAGCGACAAGCCCAGAAAAAAGCCTCCCCGACTGAAAAAACAAAAACGAAAAAAAGAGTTTCATAGACTTTCCTATACAGGCTGGCTTTGAATTGTGATCCTCAGATCTCAGCCTCCTGAGTAGCTGGGATTACAGGCGTGAGTCACTGGCAGCTGGCTTTAAAATTCTTTTTTTGTTGTTGTTGGTCATGGTTCTTGAACTCTGGTCCTGGGCGCTGTCTCTCAGCTCTTCAGCTCAAGGCAAGTGATCTACCATTTGAGCCACTGCGCCACTTCTGGTTTTCTGGTGTTTAATTGGACTTTCCTGCCCAGGCTGGCTTTGACCTGCCATCCTCAGATCTCAGCCTCCTGAGCAGCTAGTATGACAGGTGTGAGCCACCAGCGCCCAGCTTCCTTGTGAAGACTCCAATCCTCACTAAACTACCAAAGGGGAGAAGCCAGAATGTGGCTCAAGTGGTAGCCTGTTGGCCTTGAGCAAAAAATTCAAGGATTGCACTGAAGGCCCAGAACCAACGCACATTTAAAAAAAAGTATCTGGACAGTTGTGGCTATTTGCATTCAAGCCTGTAGACCGCCAGGCCAGCTCACCCTCTATAGGGCTTACAATTCAGGCCTGTTTCCATGCAGTAATTCTTTGCATCCACAAGATGGCAGCAAACCCCTCCAGACACAGCCCCTCTTTCCCAAGTGCAGGATTTACAGGCTACTGAGGCTAGAGGTTGCATTGACTCTAGGGAGGCCAGGCCAAAGGGAGGAGGGAGGAGTCCCTTAAATGGATTATGGATTTCTTCTTTAATTCTATTCTCAGGCCTGCACAGTCTGCCCTCTGCCTAAGAGGAGAGAGAGTAGGCATGAAGAAGGCCTTTCCAGGCATTCAGAGGGGCATGTGCCCCTATGCACCGGAATTAAACCATCAGACCTTTCTTCGTGTATGTGTACCAGTCCTGGAGCTTGAACTCAGGGCACTATCCCAGAGCTTTTTTGCTCCCAGACTATCACTCAACCACTTGAGCCACAGCACCACTTCTGGTTTTCTGGTGGTTTATTGGAGATAAGAGTCTCACAGACTTTCCTGACTGGGTTGGCTTTGAACTGTGATCCTCAGATCTCAGCCTCTTGAGTAGCTAGGATTACAGGCGTGAGCCACCAGAGCTCAGTTCACGTCCAGCTTTTTTTTTGTTGTAGTTGTTGGTCATGGGGCCTGAACCCGGGGTCTAGGCGCTGTCCCGCAGCTCTTCAGCTCAAGGCTAGCACTCTACCACTTGAGCCACAGCGCCACTTCCAGCTTTTTCTGCTTATGTGGTACTAGGGAATTGAACCCAGGGCCTCGTGCATGCAAGGCAAGCACTCTTCCACTGAGCCACCTTCCCAGCCCTGTGGGCATGTTTTAAAGCACCCAGAGCAGGGCTGGGAAGGTACCTTAACGTGGTAGAGTGCTTGCCTTGCATGCATGAAGCCCTGGGTTCCATTCCTCAGCACCACATACACAGAAAAAGAGGAAGTGGCACTGTGGCTCAAGTGGTAGAGGGCTAGCCTTGAGCAAAAGCAGCTCAGGAACAATCCTAGGCCCTGAGTTCAGGGCACAGTACTAGGTCAAATGATAATAATAATAATGATAATAATAATAATAATAAAGGTACCTGTGCATGTGTCTGCACCCCAGCTCAGCTTCCAGAGGCGAGTCCAGCCTTCTGTCTCAGCTGCTTCATTCATAAACCCGAGGTCAGCTCAGGCTGCCAGCCCCTTTAAGCCCCGACTCCATGGCTGAGGGTAAACACCCAGCACCCTTAAGCACCTGGCTTCAGGAAAATGGTCCTTCCTGAGGGGCTAGGTACTCATGAGTTCACCCCATCTCTCTGCCCTACACCCCCCCCCTCCACAGCCACCCCCAGCACTACAAAATAAAGACCTCCCAGGTTCACTTTGGCAAAGAGGACTTTTATTCAGTCAACAGGAGTAGTGAGTGACAAAAAAAAAAAAAAAAGAAAATCAGGTCAAGTCCCCTCCCACTTCCTCTCCTTTCCCAAGGGAGAGGGAGTTTCAGGAGAAAAGTGGGTGCAGGGGCTACAAGGATGAGGGGCTGGATCTCAGAGCCAGCAGAAGCCCCAGTATTTGCCCATCACTTGGGAGAAGGGAGAGACCACGCTTCCTTAACTCGTACAGACACGACTCTCTAGCTTCCTAGATAAACACCACAAAACTCTACCTTGCTCAGCTAATCCACTAATGTTGGGGTGTCCCTAGGGGGAGAGGGAGGGGCCAGGGACTACATTCCTAGTTTCATTCTTAAGGAATACACTTATAGATATATTTATAACACTTTTTTCTTTTTCTTAAAAACCAAAGTTTTCCTTCTGCTATTTAAAAAAAAAAAAAAGATTCTGAGTATAACCAAAAATAGGTATTTGTAGTCTTGAGGGTTTTTTTAAAATTTTTCTTCCTTTTTTTTTTCTTCCTTTTTTTTTTTTTTTATCTAAGTAGTTCAAAGAACACAACCAAAAGGAGAAACAGAGTCACGAGAACAGAACCCTTAAACACACCTCGTATAAAAATAGTTCCTGGCCAAAATCGATCGGCCAGCCCACTGTCCGACGAGGAGGTGAGTCTGGTGGCCGTTCTATGTCATACAAAGTGGGGTGCATGATGCCACACCCCATCTCACACACACGTACATTCAGGAGTCACGCAGGGGCAGACTATGGAGTGGTATCTCACCCTTCCAGGCCCAGGTGGACAGATCTGTGAGACTCTTACCTCCAATGAACCACCCCAAAATGCGGGCATTTTGGAGCTGTGGCTCCACTGGTAGAGAGCACCTGCCTTGAGCCAAGAAAGCTAAAGGACGGTGCCCAAGTCCTGAGTTCAAGCCCCAGTACTGGCACAAAAAAAAACCCAAAAAACAAATAAACAAGCAAAAGCAGGGGTGTACAAACACAGGAGACAGCACACAGAACCCACTGTGGGTGGGCCTTGAGGTAGACTTATCTTTCACACCTGGAAATAGAGAAGATCTTTTTTTTTTTCCTTTTCTTTTCTTTTTTAAAAAATTTTTTTTAAATTTTTGGTGCCGGTCCTGGGGCTTGAACTCAGGGCCTGGGTGCTGTCCCTAAGCCTCTTTGTGCTCAAGGCTAGCGCTCGACCACTTGAGCCGCAGCACCACTCCCGGCTTTTTCTTTTCTGAGTCGTTTATTAGTAAGAAGACTCTCAGGGACTTTCCTGCGGGGGCTGGCCTTGAACCCTGATCCTTAGATCTCAGCCTCCTGAGGAACTCGGATGACAGGCATGAGCCACTGGCACCCTGCTTTTTTGTTGTTGTTGTTGTTTTAAACTCTAGACAACATGGGAAGGGAAGGGGGTACCCATAAAAGGGGCTTGAGGTAGGAGTGCATTCGGGCTCTGGGGGGGTGGGGGGTACAGAGAGCTGAGCCCCCCCCTCCCCAAGACATTCATTCCGGCTGAGGTAGGTGCACAGAACAGAGCTCAATAGCAAGAATCAATCCATCCTGAGAAACAAAGCGGCCACAGAGGAGACAGAGGCCGGGCCCAGCCATGGCGCGGGCCAAGGTTTGGAGTCAATCCGCCTTCCTCTCTTCTCCTTGCCATTCTAAGTTTTCAGTTTGAGGGAGGAAAACATTCACTCAGTTCCAAGTTGGGTGGGGGGTGGGCAATGGTGGGGGGGGAAGGGCATACCTCCAGATGGACCCTTCTCCCTCTTGCCCCCTCCCCACCCCATCCCAACTTTCTGGCTCTGAGGGTTTCTAGAACCCTGTCCTTCAATCAGGCCAGAAAAGCTGGGCAAGGCAGGACCATCGGAACCCACAGAACAGGAGAAATGTCGCCCTTGACCTGAGAATGGGGGTGGGGGGGGGAGAGAGGGGCTACCCCCCCCTTCCAGAGCCTGCCAAGCACTGGCTACTACTGGTCCTGGTGAGGTGGATGGCCAGTTAGGGCTGGGGAAGGCCAGCGGTCTGTCCTTCCTGGGGGAGGCCCCGGCCTGCATTCTGGGGTGATGGAGCAGCTTCGGGGCCTGCACAGGGGGTCCTGGCTTCTGGTGTCCTCCCATCCACAAGGCTGAAGCTGTGAAGAGACCCCACGGAGAACTGAGACTCCTCACACAGGGCCGGGGCTGCAGGATCCTGTGGAACAGCCAGGCAGCTAGGCATCAGCTTGGAGGCCAGAGAACGCGCCCCCCCACACCCCCGAACCCCTTCTTTCCCTCAGGCCTCTCTGCCAGATGCAGAGTATAGGAAAAAAAAAAAAAGCACTGACCCAGAGTCCTGTACCTAAAAAGGACCTGGCTGGTGATCAAGGCCAATGCCCAAGATCTACAGAAGAAGAGATGGAGCCAGGTGCTGGTGGCTCACACCTGTCATCCTAGCTACTCAAGAGGCTGAGATTGGAGGATCACAATTCAAAGTCAGCCTGGGCAGAAAAGTCTGTGAAACTCTTTTCTTTTTGTTAGTCCTGGGGCCTGGGCGCTATCCCTCAGCTCTTCAGCTCAAGGCTAGCGCTCTACCACTTGAGCCACAGCACCACTTCTGGCTTTTTCTGCTTATGTGGTGCTGAGGAATCGAAC